TGCCACAAAAAGTCTGTCATAGATTAATGGCATTTGTAAATTAGACTTTGTGACACAGCAAATGCCTCTGTGACATAGCAAATATCATCATTGTATGAAATTGCACTACCTGTATGACGTTTTTTGTGACATACAACTTTTTATTGTCACTAAGTCAAAGTTCCTAAAACATAATGTCATAAACCGAATGATATAATGACATTATCACCTGTTGTCATACTAAATATGTAAAAAACCATACATTTCTTGTAGTGGTTGGAGAGGAAAAGGGCGCACTGGAAGAGCCGATATGGTTGCAGCTTGGCATGGGGGTGGCGCGGGCGCTTGCGGCTGCTCTGGTGAGGGCACGCCACCTGCGATCAAGCTCGCGGGGTTGTGGCCTTGGGTGCACTACCGGAAACCGGCGATTTGCCGAGTGCCGAGGCTTTGCCGAGTGTAATTTATCGGGCACTCGGCAAAGACCGTGTTTGCCGAGTGCCAAATAAAATACACTTTCGGCAAACAAAACACACGGCAAAATACGTCTTTGCCGTGTGTTTTTTTCTCGCACTCGGCAAAGATGTATTTTGCCGAGTGCCTTTGTTTTTGGCACTTTCGGCAAAGAGGCTTTTTGCCGTGTGCATTTTTTTTTTGCCCTCGGCAAATCATTTTTTTCAAGCAATTTTTGAGGCCCTAAATGAATTCAAATGAAAAACTTTTCAACTACTAAAGTTAGATAACTTCTCAAGATCTACAAAGTTTATTTTGGTCATTTCTTCATTTGACAAAGCGACAATAACGTTGTTCATAAAATCTACATCTCTCATATTAGTTTCATGAAAGTAGAAGATAGATATATAAGATTTGTGAACAATGTTACTACCACTATGTCGGATGAACAAATGACCAAAATAAACTTTGTAGATCTTGATAAGTTAAGAAATTTTGTAGTTGGCAACATTTTGATTTGAAATCATCTTGTCATGCAAAAACGACGTTTGAATTTGAAAATTTTAAAATTTGAATTTTTCAAACGACCTCGGATGAAAAAATTTCCTAAATGAAAATTATAGATCTCCAAAAGTTATGAAACTATGTAGTTGACAACTTTTTGATTTGAAATCATCTTATCATACAAAACTACGTTTGAATCTGTCAAATTTAAAATTCAAAATTTTCAAACGACCTCGGATGGAAAAACTTACTAAATGAAAATTGTAGATCTCAAAAAGTTATGAAACTTTGTAGTTTACCACTTTTTTATTTAAATTCATTTAGGGCCACTAACAAGCAATTTACTCTCAGTTTGCCGAGTGCCTTTTTTCTAGCACTCGGCAAAGTCGTATTTTGCCGAGTGCCTATGCTTTGGCACTCGGCAAAGAGGCATTTTGCCGTGTGCATTTTTTTGGCCCTCGGCAAATAAGTTTTTCGATTCAATTTTTGAGGCCCTAAATGAATTCAAATGAAAAACTTTTCAACTACAAAGTTGTATAACTTCTCAAGATCTACAAAGTTTATTTTGGTCATTTCTTCATTTGACAAAGCGACAATAACGTTGTTTATAAAATATACATCTCTCATATTAGTTTCATAAAAGTAGAAGAGATATATATGATTTGTGAACAATGTTACTACCACTATGTCGGATGAACAAATGACCAAAATAAACTTTGTAGATCTTGAGAAGTTATGAAATTTTGTAGTTGGCAACATTTTGATTTGAAATCATTTTTCATGCAAAAACGACGTTTGAATTTAAAAATTTTAAAATTTGAATTTTTCAAACGACCTCGGATGAAAAAACTTCCTAAATGAAAATTGTAGATCTCCAAAAGTTATGAAACTATGTAGTTGACAACTTTTTGATTTGAAATCATCTTATCATGCAAAACTACGTTTAAATCTCTCAAATTTAAAATTCAAATTTTTCAAACGACCTCGGATGGAAAAACTTACTAAATGAAAATTGTAGATCTCAAAAAGTTATGAAACTTTGTAGTTGACCACTTTTTGATTTGAATTCATTTAGGGCCTCAAATAAGCAATTTACACTCGGTTTAGTATAATATATTGGGAACTAAAACGGAATCTGACACAAGTGACAATGTGTGGTGTAGTGGTAGAGGAGGTTTGTGCGCAATGAGAGGTCTTGGATTCGAATCCCGTCGGTCACAGTAGTCGTGAAATTTACGCCAAAAAAGCCGGAGATGGATGGGCGCTGACCGGTGGGGGCCTCCACCAATTAAAAAAATTCCATTTTTTTGGGTAAAATTCCCATTTTTTTCGGGTTTTTTTTCGGTTCCAACTTTGTTTAGTAGTCGGCACTCGGCAAAGGCTTTGCCGAAAGTGCCCAACAAAGACACTCGGCAAAGACGCCTTTGCCGAATTTTTTTTGCCGAAGTGCTCTTTGTTGAGTGTGAAAGACTTTCGGCAAAGCCTTTGCCGAGTGCAAATTGGGCTTTACCGAGTGCCCCTGGCACTCGGCAAATTCACTGAGTCCGGTAGTGGTGGAAGGAGGACGAACGAGGAAGAAGAAGCTGATGTTTTTTTTCTCCTAACGTGTGGGTCCGGGTGTAGTGGGATAGAGAGAAACGCCATAGTCAAGGGCAAAATAGGCCATTCCTACCAAAATGCCCTTACGTGAATCTACAGGTAGTGCATTAGCTAATCAGTTTCCTGATACATTTACAGGAAATAGCACTCCCCTAACAAGTATGAGGAAAGGAAGTCTTCGCCTCAGGGGAAGGTCTAGGGGAACAAGTCAGTTCAAGGACTCAATTAGGGTTTCATTCATTGCTACCACCTTTCACACAGGGTTCAATTCTCTTTTTATAGGTCACTGTTGTGATGGGGTTTGGTTGCAAGGCTTAGTTGAATCTTTTGGACTCTCTGCTACTTTAGATTGCTTGGGATTAAGTGGGTTTGAGGTTTGCTGCATGGTGCTGTTTATTTTGGTGGCGATCTGCCAGAATGTGTAGTTCGCTAGTGCAAGATCTAAGCTAGTTCGCTAGGTGCGTACTGCCTTGGGGCTTTCCATTAATCTACGGTGGTGATCTCGTCACTACCATGCTCCAGTTAGCTGTTAGACTTACGCTGATGGGCTGCTGGGAAACTTTGATTTGATCTAGCAGAAATCGATGTCTGGTGAAATTTGCTATATTATTGTCGTGTAACCTTCTGGCATGGCAGCCTCTAATTGATCACGTGGCTTCAAATTGAATGTGCTCATTCTCAACCGTTGTGTGATGCTTTGTAGGTTGGAAGCAGGCTTGACTGGAGCAGGAACTATGCTCCCAAGGACATCAAGTTTGGTGTTGAGGCCCGTGCTCTGATGTTGAGGGGTGTTGAGGAGTTGGCATACGCGGTCAAAGTGATAATAGGTCCTAAGGTATAACAGCGTTCTTATACTGATGATAAACAGTTACCTAAATGACTACCCAATTTTCTTAATAGAACACAGAACCGCCTTCTAGTTATGCTGAACACTTCCATACGTCAGTTTCCTTCCTGATGTCAATATTCTAGGAGCTACAGATGCTCATTATGGCACTCACTGATTTCATACATGCTTAGTAATCGATTCTTTGTTCTATTTTCTGTAGGTATGCAACCAGCAAATGTACAACTTAGGCCAAAAGATAGCATGGTGGGGGTCTTGACACAGGAGTTAGTTAGTAATACCCCTACCACTTTGGAAACTATTAGTGACTTGTGTGTTTGATGTATGGACTTCATGTAAGGACGAATGATAAATGCACTTGTAATATTTTTATGAATATGTTAATGTCACTATAATGGTTGGGCTCCGTAACAAAATGTCTGTATGCATTTCATCATGTGTCAATTGAGTATAGTGACTGAAATATTAGAATATATTGATTACTGGAATTAATTTTTTTATTCCCAATATAGATTTCCTTGGGGGCCGGCCCTCAAGGAAATTTGAATTAACTTGATGGTTAATGACAGTCAAGGAAAACTATAATTTTCTTGGAGGTGAAGAGCAGCCAAGGAAACAACAATTACTTTGGTGGTCTAGAGTGTTTCCTTAGAGGTTGTCAGCCCTCAAGAAAATTAGTTTACTTGGCGGCTGCCAACCCTCAAGAAAACTATTTTCCTTGACGGTTGTAACATTTCCTCGGTCCTTCGGCAAATTAAGTATGGCCCTAGTTTACTTGGCGGCTGGCCTCCAAGGAAATCATCCTTGAGTGCCAAAACCGCCAAGGAAAACTAATTTCCCTTATCTCCTATCCTTGAGTGAGTTTGTTTGACGGTTTGTGGCTAAGGATTATTTTCTTGGCGGTTTAACCCCTTTCCTTGGGGGTTTTTAGTACTCAAGGCAATTCCAGTTTACTGTAGTGATACCAACAGTCCTCCTCACTTTTGTTTGCCTCGAGGCACTATTCATATCGTCTTTTTACAACATGAGGACCATAATACCCCACCTCTGTCATAGATACCAAGAATTTTTGTTTTGGCGGGGCCTTAAGGTCCAATAATTCGCATCGAAATACAAATGACATTTGCTTGCTCTTGGGTGCTTGGGACCCTCACCAGGGCGCTACCCCTTCACAACCTTCTCGGCGCTTCGTTTGGTCATGAGCGTGCTCTGTTGCCCTCTTCGCCAACCACTCTGCGCCTCTTCTCTCCTAGCAAAAACATCTATTCCCTGCAAGAAAGATCCGAAATAGGCGGACTTCGATCGACCCCGCGCGTGATGAAGAGGTAACGAGACCCCGCGTGCGATGCATCCGCCCGACGAGGAGTACATATGTTATGTATAAGTGTATATAATGAACATACATACAGTCAAAACACTGAGCACCAGGGTCAAAGACCAGGCCCCGGGCTCAACAGATCCAATCGGACATGCATGCATCTCAGCCAAATCCTGATCAGCAGGTGCATGCATGGATCAACGTGGAGTCGTGGACCAAGCAAGGTACACATCATATAGTAAATATTACTTGACGACTATAGTGCCATAAAATACAGATACAGGTGTACGTCTGGCGACTGCACTACAGTATGGTACACCACCTGGTCCTTTGTTCCCCACTGCTGTCGGAAATGGAACGAGTCGTTGGCCCTTTCGGATGCGTCGTTGGGGCCTTTGGTTTGTCCTTGCCTTTGGGTCGCTGCTCTCCCTCCTTGCGTTGCTGTTGCTGTTGCTGTTTCTGTTTCTGTTGCTGTTGCTGTTGCTGTTGCTGTTGCTGTTGCTGCTCTTCTTCTTCTTTCTCCTCCTCCTCCTCGACGAACAAGAAGTTTGCTCGCTGGGACTTCTCTGCTAGATCCTACAATAATTAAAATGTATATATATCTATATGCATCGATCTCCAGTATGTAGTAACCGCCAGACCACATCTCCCCCTAAACAAAAGGCTCCATCCACAGCTGATAAAAGATTGTAGCTGAATCGAACAACGAACGACAAAAGGAGACGGTGGTCTAATATAACATACATGTACCGATCCACAACAAAAGTGAATCGACGTTCTTGGTGTTGTAGTGATTACCGTACCATAGCCGCAGGCTTAGCTTGCTTTGGGTTTGGAGATGGACGGAGACGACGTCACTGCCCCCAGCTGGTACTAGGTTGCAAACTGCAAAACCATATCTTGTGTCTAGTATGAGAGAAGAGGCCGGGTGAAGAACACTAAGTATATATACACACACATGCGCCACGCAACCACACACGTTGTTTCAGATAAATGGATGGAATGGAATGCAGTGTTCCTTTTTTTATTATTGAATTCGTGGAAGGACATATGCCTAGCTTGTGTTGGCAGCTAGCTCACTAGATTAGCTTAAGAGTTACAAAAGCCAGAGAATATGGATGTGGATGGGTACAACGTAGATGCCTGGTGTCGACTTTGGTGGGGTAAAGAAGAGTGAACAAAGGACGAAGAATTGGACTTGGACGGCCCGAATGTCCAAGATATGATTCGCTAGGAGAGAACAAAGTAGAGAACGTACAGACCTTTGATCCTCGATTAAAATGGTCTTTAGTCCCGGTATTTTTTGCGCCCGGGATTCAATCGGGACTAAAGGTCCTTGCCTAACGGCTACTGCACCAGACAGAGGTGGCAGGGACCTTTAGTCCCGGTTGAAGCCACCAACCGAGACTAAAGGTAGACTTTTACTCCCGGTTGGTGGCTCCAACCTGGAGTAAAGGTCTACTCCCGGGCCGTGGCTACGTCGGGGGTTGAAAAGTTACCTTTAGTCCCGGTTGGAGCCACCAACCGGGACTAAAGGTCCCCTTTATATCCCGGCCGTCTCCTTCTTCCTCCCCGAGCCCGAGCTCAGCACATTTTGAAGCTCACTGCACTAGTGTTCTTGCTTCCTCCCTCCATTGTTCCTCCATCCATTCTTCGATTCCTCCGTCGATTTCTTCGATTCCTCCGTCGATTCTTCAGTTGTAAAGGTTACCAATCTCATACTCTCATTTTTCATCATTGGCTTATCTCATATTGTTCACTATATATATATTGTTTTTATGGTGTTTTTTTATTTGTAAACAATTTGAGCTCAAAATAACTTATAGTTTTCATATTTGGATGAAGAAAGGTTAAAGTAGGTATTTAACAAAGTATTCACTTTTTATTTCTAGCATGCATAACACACTTCATTGTTTAGAGATATAGATAATTTTATAGTTTCTTAATTTTATTTGTTTATAAAATGAGAAATTTATAGTGTATTAAAAAAATGAGTATAGAGAGTAGATAGCAACTGCTTCCGGGTCCTCGGCCTCTCATGGGTTTCCAAAGCGACTTAGGCCGGGCCTCCCTCTCATTCCATGCGGCAAGTGTCGTGATGAGACGAAGATTGTGATGGAGTACCGAGTGAAGAAGGAGGGTTCCAACAAGGGTCGTTTCTTCTACAAGTGTCCGGATCGCAATATGAGTTATTTTATCGTATTTTATGATTATAGTTAGTTTATACCTATTTTTATGATGGTTGTGATTAAAGTTCTAATTTTTTGTTTTAATTTCAGTGGGATGGCAGTGGACGATGTTCAGGCTTCTACTGGGAGGAAGAGTATGTTGAACTCGTGCAAAAATATCTTGCACAACAGGCAGATACGACGGCTAATGAGGCAGTGATCTAGCCGAAGAAGCCCAAAGATGTTGCACAATCGGGGGATCTGTCTGTTTTAGTTGAGATTGGTCGCGAAATCCTTATGCTCCTGAAATGTATTTTAGCTTTAGTTCTTTTAGTGGTAGTTGGGATTGTCTACATTGTAGCGATGCTTTCATAAATTTGTACCTTTTGTGGTGGCACGCATGTTGTATAAATAATTAATTATGATCTAGGTTTTAATATGGTATTTATGTCATGTAATGCAGATGAGCCGGCATTGGATGTAAAATGCTGATCGCCGCTCCCAAGAGTTCATTGACGGCGTGCATTCTTTGTTACGTGCGGCCGAGGCAAACAAACGCGACGGTTTCATGTGCTGCCCATGTGCCATATGTAAGAATACGGTGGAATATCCTTGTTCAAGGACTCTTCATTCACACTTGTTCAAGTCAGGTTTCATGCCAAACTATATTTGTTGGACGAAGTACGGAGAAACCGGCATTGTAATGGAAGAAGGTGAAGAAGAACAATGGGACAATAATGATATTATTCCCGATGGTGCGTGCTTCAATGATACTGCAATGGGAGAAGCTGAAGAAGAGATAGCCGCAGAAGATGAGCCTGCTGATGATCTTTGTCAGGTCATTCGTGACGCACAAAGAGAATATGAAAGTGAAAAGGAGAAGATCAAGTTCTAGCGGATGCTAGAAGATCACAAGAAATTGTTGTACCCAACTTGTGATGCAGGGCAGAAAAAGTTGGGAACCACAATAGAATTGCTGCAATGGAAGACAAAGAATGGTGTATTTGACAAGGGATTTGGAGAGTTACTAAAAATTCAAAAGAAGATACTTCCGAAGGACAATGAATTTCCCGCCACTACCTACAAGGCAAAACAAGTTGTCTGTCCTATGGGGCTAGAAATCGAGAAGATATATGCATGTCCTAATGACTGCATCCTCTACCGTGGCAAAGAGTACGAGAAATTGGATGCATGCCCGGTATGCCATGCATCGCGGTATAAGATCAGGCGAGATGACCCTGATGATGTTGAGGGCGAACGTCCACGGAAGAAAATCCCTGCCAAGGTTATGTGGTATGCTCCTATAATACCACGCTTGAAACATCTGTTCAGAAACAAAGAACATGCAAAATTGTTGCGATGGCACAAAGAAGACCGTAAGGTAGACAATATGTTGAGACACCCTGCTGATGGGTCCCAGTGGAGAGCAATCGACAGAGAATTCCCGGAGTTTGCAAATGACGCAAGAAACTTAAGGTTTGCTTTAAGTATAGATGGTATCAATCCTTTTGGAGAGCAGAACAGTAGTCATAGCTCTTGGCATGTTACTCTAAGTATTTACAACCTTCCTCCTTGGTTATGCATGAAGCGGAAGTTCATTATGATGCCTGTGCTCATCCAAGGCCCGAAGCAACCTAGCAATGACATCGATGTGTACCTGAGACCACTTATTGATGAACTTCTCATTTTGTGGAATAAAGAAGGTGTACGTGTGTGTGGGATGAGTACAAATAGGAACACTTTGATCTACGAGCATTGTTGTTCGTAACAATCAATGATTGGCCTGCTCTAAGTAATCTTTCAGGACAGTCAAAAAAGGGATATAATGCATGCACACACTGCTTTGGTGATATTAGAGGTGTATTCTTGAAAAAATGTCGAAAGGTCGTGTACCTTGGCCATCGTCGATTTCTTCATGCAAATCACCCCATAAGAAAGAAAGACAAGCATTTTAAAGGGAAGGCAGACCACCTGACCAAGCCTCACAACCGAACCGGTGAGGATGTACAAGATATGGTCAATGATGTGAAAGTCATCTTTGGAAAAGGACATGGCAGCCAACCTGTTCTGAACGACGCTAACGGTCATGCACCCATGTGGAAGAAGAAGTCTATATTTTGGGAGCTACCCTATTGACAAGTCCTAGAGGTCCGTAGCTCGATCGACGTGATGCACCTGATGAAGAATCTTTGTGTGAACCTGCTAGGCTTCATGGGTGTGTATGGAAAGCCTAAGGACACATTTGAAGCACGACAGGACCTGCGTTGTTTGAGAGAAAGAGACAACCTGCATCCAGAGAAGACAGATGATGGACGTCATTACTTACGTCCTACCAGCTACACTCTAAGCAAAGAGGAGAAGGAAAACATGTTTGAATGCTTGAGAGAAATTATAAAGGGTATTATAAATGTGCCAGAAAAGAAATTCTGTAACTTAAAGTCCCATGACTGTCACGTTCTCATGACGCAATTACTTCCAGTTGCATTAAGAGGAATTCTACCTCCAAATGTACGTCTAGCCACCGTGAAGCTATGTGCATTCCTCAATGCAATTTCTTAGAAGGCAATTGATCCAACGGATCTAGCTAAACTACAGAATGATGTGGTTCAATGTCTCGTCAGCTTTGAGTTGGTGTTCCCTCCTTCCTTCTTTAATATCATGACACACCTCCTAGTTCACCTGGTCAAGGAGATTTTCATTCTCGGTCCTATGTTCCTGCACAACATGTTCTCCTTAGAGAGATTCATGGGAGTCCTAAAGAAATATGTTCACAACCGTGCTCGCCCAGAAGGAAGCATCGCCAAGGGCTATGGAACAGAAGAGGTCATTGAGTTCTGTGTTGACTTTATTCCCGACCTTGACTCGATTGGTGTTCCTGAATCGAGACATGAGGGAAGACTAAGCGGAAAGGGGACACTAGGGAGGAAAACATATATTGGTACGGAGGATGATTATTTCAATAAAGCGCACTACACTGTTCTACAGAACTCCTCTTTGGTAGATCCGTATATTGAGACACACAAGGATCTCTTACGATTCGAGTTTCCAGGTAAGACTGAAGCTTGGATTACGCGTAAGCACATAGAAACTTTCGACGGTTGGTTGCGAAAAAAATGTCAAGGTGATGAGAGCATCCATGAGCAACTGTATTTATTGGCTATGCAACCATCATGGCATATCATCACATACAAAGGGTACGAGATAAATGGGAACATATTCTACACAGTAGCTCAAGATAAAAGAAGTACCAACCAAAACAGTGGTGTCCGCATAGATGCCACAGACCCGAATGGGAATAAGCAGACATATTATGGCCGCATAGATGAAATATGAGAACTAGAATATGCACCTACTTTGAAGATCCCATTGTTCAAGTGCCAATGGGTCAAGGTGACCGGAGGTGGGGTAACAGTAGACAACGAGTATGAAATGACAACAGTAGACCTTAGTAATATTGGGTACAAAGACGAGCCATTCGTCCTTGCCAAGGATGTGAATCAAGTGTTCTGTGTCAATGATATGTCTACCAAACCAAAAAGAGGGAAAAACGATAATGACTCAACCAAAGAGTAAAAGCGCCACATAGTTCTTTTAGGGAAAAGAGTCATCGTGGGAATTGAGGACAAGTCGAGCATGTC